GCCTCAGGCAACCCATCCTGTTCATGTGGCCGGAGAAGGTAAACTGGATAAATGTAAGAACTGTTCCCAGCAACAGTAATCTGACAACACGCTGGACTTGCCTGAAAGTAACTGTTAGTGCCTCCTGCAGACACACCTACACCCCAGTAATAAATAACCTTGCAAAATAAATAAATAAATAAAAATGTCACAACACAGTCAGTTTCATTTTCAGTTTCCATTATGTGGTCAGTGGTTAAATGTGATATTTTTTACTGGCTTACTCCGGCCTAGTAGATGCGTAAAACTATAGTAGTGGGCAGTCATCCTTCAAAATCCTCTTTAGAAACATTCATCGGGCGTCCTCACACAAGTCAAGTCACTTTCCCCTCAGTGCGATGTTTACAATTATGCCACGGTCACATCCGGTGTTCTTACCGTTTTGAGCCGAGACGAAAGGCAGCATCAAGTTCCCCAAAAGGACCACCAGTGTCACTGCGTTAGGATGCATCGTCGGGGCTCGATCAGGGTCTCGGTCGAATGTGGGAGGAGAGATCGTGTGGCTATTGATCACAAGATCTACAGAGATGGGCCCAGCATAGCACCGGGTTCTTAAAAAATAAAAAAAAATAGTCTGCCGATGGTGGTTTAAAAATAAAAAAAAAAGAAGAAAAAATGTCTGTAGAAATGTCTCCCTGATTCAAAGACCTTTCGAGGACAGCGATGGGTGAAAGGTCTGGGATGAGGCCAGTGCGGCTCAGGGATGCCGATGTGCGGCCATAGGCGGCGAAGAATCCTCGTCGGATTGCAGAAGAGGGGTCTTTGGCTGTCAGGAAGATCGTCCACAGTGTGGTTCTGAAGATTCAAAGATGCGCAGACCGATGCGCATTTGCGCTCTCGCGGTCACGGCTCGGTGATTAAAATGAAAGTACCGCACAAATGATTCCCGACGGGGGACTGATGTAGCCGAAACATAAGTCTGTTATCAGCACCGGTTCTATTTTTAATTCCGAAAGAGGAACAGATGCTGGTAGGACACCGACGGCAGCTACGACAAGCTGCGCGTTCCCATTGCGCGCATGACCGTGGATGAACACGCACACACGCACACGCATGTAACTGATGTTTGTGAACTCGGGCGGTCAAATGCGCCCTTCCTGCCATTCCGAAAGCATCAAGGCATCATTTAAAATAGGAGAAGAGAGGTGCACGTTACATCATGTGTGTGTTTTAATGCGGATGCTGCACATATACATAATAACAGACATCATTTCCTCACTCTGTTGCTTTTGCAACGTTGCCTATAAATCGTCTCTTATTTGCCACAAACTGCCAACAAACAAATTTCCCAGCACATTTACATTTAAAAGGGGGAGAAAAAAAAATAACAAACTTGCAAATGTTATGCAAATGAACAGAAAGCAACCCAGCTGCAGTTTCCACCTCCCACATCTTTGCAGGCCTCTTTCACAGAGCCTAAATACTTTTTTGTGTGAGCAGATTATGGTGATGCTCTTGAGCTCACTGAGGTCATTTATAAATTATGTCATCACATCAGTGGCCTGGGTGTTCTCAAGCTGTATGTACCACATCCCCTTGAAAGTTCAACATGGCCTCCTGTAATCCTCTTCTATCCTTAATCTGCCCTGTTGCACTGGCGACCTCATGTGGTCAGTCCAGGTAAACTGCAAAGTGTCAGCATGCATCTTTCTCCTTCTGCCTCTTTCTCTTTTTTTTTTTTTCTTCTTCTTGTTTTTATACTACCAAAGGAGCTAAAAACACCTATGCACTGGACACATTTTTAACCCTGCTTGATTTTATTTTTTATTTTTTTTAAAGATAAATTCTATAACCTTTCTTTATCGTCTTAATTCTAACATCTCCTTCTTTTGTTTAGTTGTAGTGCAAATTCGTGGGAGTAACTTGATTCCTCAATGTAAAGGCCGACACTCTGACGTATCCATGCATGTTTTTTTGCCGGACTGTTCCAAAATGGCCAGTCTCTGCTCACCCACAGAACAAACTTCCCTCCACTTTACAGCCCTCCCTCCAGTTTGTCCATGGGAGACCACATTTAAAATGTAACCCCACCTGAAACCTCACGCAGACCAATCAGCTAGAGAAATGTCAGAGCAGACGGCACACCCTCCTTTGTTCGAAACCAATCAGAGTGGAAGTGTGGCATTTTGCCTGAGGGGAAAACTTACCCCTGGATGCGTTAATTACGCATCACTTAGCTGTTGCCAATGTGTTCACAACGGTGGACCCTCTTTTGGGCTTTTTACAACGATTGTCTTCATTCTTCGGTCTATCTAGTATGGAAAGTAGACAACAATGGCTTACCAGGCTGAAAAATGAACTTAGCAACAGTCCTCTGGTATCAAATGTGGCTTTTGGCTTTATCCTCATGGGACTAGAGAAGCTGGTGGAGCTGGAGTTTGAGTGTCCTTGCAACGCTACATGGAACGGAGTGTTTTCATCAGCATTCTTCATCATTCCTGCCGTCATGGCCTTCACCTTGATGCTGATCATTCAAGGATGCAGATGTGATTCGTGGTGCAGGAAAACGGTTTCCCTCTCCAGCTTTGTTCCCGCTATCGTGTGGCTGATTTTGTTGTTCCTCGATGGCCAATACTTTGCTTGTGCTATGACAGACTGGGAGGGTAGATTTGTACTAGTTGACAAGGCAGCTCCGCAGAAGTGGTGTGAGCCAATTGGTGAGGGAGATGTCACACCACAAGAACTAATGCTCCGCTCACAGCAGCTGTTTGTTTTTTCTCAGGTGAGTTGAATATTTTCTACTTTGCAGAAGATTACGTAGGATGAGTGGAGTGAAAACACCTCCTCCTCAGAGGATATGCTGTATAGAACATACCCACTGACATTACACTTTGCAAACTATTTATGTACCTCTGTTACAGATATTGTTAATGAAGAGTGTGCCTTTTTATCTTGATTTTTACTTAACAAAGTGTTGTTTTTACTCTTTTGTACCCCAGGTTATAGGCATAGTCCTCCTCATTTTCATCTGTGTGGGTCTCGTAGTGTATGTAATCAGAGAAAGCTGCCAACAAGAGGTGGAGATGCAGGATGCAGATGTAGCCGAGCTCACTGTGCTCAGGATGAGCGCACTGCGGACCAGGACATCATGAGAGGACTTAGACCGTCCACCACACCTGCCCTGCTGGCACGGACACTTTGTAAATACCACAAACAGACTTTACCATCAGTTTTTGTAACTTTTGTGCCTGTTGAAAGTCTTTTCCTCTGTAGACGTTGGATATTCAGTGTGCCTTGAATGGTCATTATTGCTGCCTTATGAAGCTGCCATGAATATGGATGTTATTGAAAACAGCTGTTATCTTCTTTGTATTATTGTTGAATTTGTAACTTGCTTGTGTTCATCTGATAATTCAGTGAAGCGACTAATTAGTTTTTTTTACCAATCTTTAAAGGAGTGGTTTGACATTTTGGGGAATCGGTGTATTTGGGTTGTTTTTAACATCAAAAGTAAGAGGACAAGATTGTCTGTCTAGTAGAAGCGACATATAGTGTTTTATTAGCTTAGCATATAAAGACTGGAAGTTGGAAATTGTTATTTCAGTTGAAAGTAAAAAATAATTGTAAAAACATCTACCTACCATCACACCTGAAGATCACAAATTCATCTGTTCTATCAGGCTGTTTCTTCACTTGGAGCAGTAGCCAGACAACCAGTGCAGCCACAGACACCAGCTTAATATTTACTGTGAAGACACCAGAATGCTATTTTCTGATCTAACTTTTAGCAAAGGAGAAAATCAGCAAAGTTTCCAAAATTACAGTTGTTTTTTTTTTTAAAGAATTTTATCACTTTGTCATGTTTTGTGAAGTTTTAGAATTGTCAGCTTGCAGCTCAGAGAGTGCTGTACTTTTTCACCTTTTTATACCTTATCTAAGTTTTTGTGCCTTTTGTATTAGATATATTGTCACAAGTGGAATCCATCAGGCAGCTGATATTGATCTGATTAATATTAGTTCACTTGTACTATTGTTTGATGTGTGCATGCCAACAATGAAAATGTTTAAACAAAGTGAAAATCCACTTTTGTTTTCCCTCCTGGGTAGCAAATGTCTCCAGACTTGTGGTATCAGACCCCATCATGTCTAATCTTAGCTAACGGTGATATTTCAGACTGAATTGGAATTCCTGATGATTTCCTTCTTTTGACAGATAGAGATGTAAAATGATGAGCATGATGATTTGTATCATGGCTGCATCCAGCCAAAAGTAGGATGTAGACACAAACTCTATACCAATACTTGCAGTACTTTGTTTTTATTGTTTTGTAATAAATCAATTTATTTATTTAAGTAAAATCTTCATTTTTTCTTCACACCGTGTTGGTTTCCACAGAAATCATCAACCTTCATGTGTTGGGGATTTGAGTTTGTCTTAAAGTGTGATCCACTCTGTTGTGAAGCTGTAACATCTCTCCAGTAAATGTACAAATATTCATACAGTGGTAGAAAAAACAGAACAATCTAATTTACATGTAATGTTGTTTTGACATTCCCAGAAAAGTCTGGCAACACTGAGAGCACCAGTTCTTTTGGTGGGCTGAAGCTAAAAACCAAGCAGGACTTTAACAGAGCAGAAACACACGTCCAACTTGGTTTTAAATATAAATGCAGATTCATCAGTCTAACACATCCTACAATATGTATTGTATCTGCAGTGTAATACCAAGGCGGTCTATGAGTCCTCTGGTGAGGATTCCTTTAGGACAGCCTGTGTCCTGAGGA